ACAGTGAAGGCAAAATAAGAATCAATCCTGTCCTGGGAAAGGTGAAGATGTGAGAAACTCAAAATAATCTCACCTTGATTATGTTTGGTATAAGAGGGTGCAGAGAGGCACTCTAGCAGACTTTTGAGATTCTGCACTTACATCTTTCAATATTCAAATAGCATTCCTGGAACCTTTGTAGTATCTGTTTCCTGACCTGGCCTCCCTCAAGGAGCTGACATTATGGTTCTGAATTAACAGATATTTTAGTTGTGGTTTAGCATATCTAAGGAAGCATGTGAGGTCTAGTGAAAAAAAAAAAGAGAGATTTAAATTCATTATAGCCTACCATATCATATTTTGGGTCTTATGAGTCTTCCAGTTATCGTGTGAGTCTTATGACTGTTCCACTATAAGCATAAAAAAATAATAATAATTAAAATGTATTCCCAATTGTAAGATAGGCCTTTTTAAGGAGATACAGATAGGAGGCAGTTTCCTTACGGAAGTTGTATATGGCAATGGTATGTGGGAATGACCTTGGGAGACAGGAAGAAGAGATGCAGCCAAGGGAATGGACAGATAAAAGGCAACTTAGCCCACAGCAGGAATGTGGGAGGGGCAAGTAGCTCAGAAGGGACCCTCCCTAGTTTCTTGGGCTGTAAAGGGGATGGGGGGAGAAACGCACTTTCAGACTTGCAAGATTCTGTTAATGTAACCTTGCTGTAAAGTAGAATTAGCTCATCTGGCCATGCTTCCTGTCTGGCCTACCTCGCAAGGCTGACATCAATCTTGCAAGTCTAAAAGTCTCTTCTCCCTGTCTCTCAAGGTCATTCCCACCTACTGTTACAAGTATATGTTTATGTGTGAGTGTGGGTGTGCTCTCCTTCTCTTTCAGTGCACAGTTCCAGGTCAGGAGAATAATTTTAGCTGAATGAGGATTTCAAGGTTCTGTAGGGGCCAACATACCTGGGCTGTAAGAATCCTGACAACACTAGATAGCAGTAAGAGGTATAAACATCTACCTCCTGCCATCTGGTGCTGTCTTGATATTTGTAGTTGAGATCTGATAGTCCTGAATAAATAAGGAATGTGCATTCTAATTATCTCCCCTTCTCAGTTATTTCCTCTTCTCAGTTAGAAAGAAAGAAAGAAAGAAAGAAAGAAAGAAAGAAAGAAAGAAAGAAAGAAAGAAAGAAAGAAAGATGTGTAAGTTGATGGATTATGATCAAGAAGGGATAGATTCAAGTTAGCTCTCAACCCCAGGAGAACAGGTGCAAAAAACTAGGTGACCACTAGTTGGCAGTAGAGAGGTAAGGGGGGGTTGTATACTTTTGTAGACTAGATCTGGTAGGTCAAATATTATGCAGGGTACCACACTGTGAGCTTCTTATTCATCTCCCATAAGAACAGTACCATTGGATCAAAAACCTACAGTGTTATCTAGAAGGTGAGAAGGTGAAGAAAGACTTCTTTCCTTATGACATAACTATACCTTGTCCTACTGGAATAAATGGAACATATCAAGATGCACAGATGTAATTTTTTTGGGGGGGAAAAGAGTATACTTTGCAACGTGGAATAAATGTTGCAGTTCCATTTGTAGAAAAACAGTCATTCTGTTGCATTGGGTGACATCCGGTATATCCAGAATCAGCTCAGGTTGTTTGCAACCGCAGGTACATTTAAAAAGGCTGTTCAAAGAGAAGAGGCATGTAACAGAGGAACGGTCCCTTCGCCATTTCCACAACTTACCTCTTTAGAACTTTTCCCCAGGCACCACTGATTATTGTTTAATAGCTCTGTGTTGCAGCAAAGATTAGAAAAGATTTCAGGAAGGGACTGTCTTTTGCCCCTCGCTGGCCCAAATTTCAAAGATGAGCAGTAGACTTGAATCTAACTCTCTGTTCTGTGCAGGAATTCAAGTTAAAAAATAAATCCTTTAATTTTTATTCATGCTGTTTCATTCCTAATCCCCCGATCCTTCTCATTACCTTCTTTGAACGTATTCCAACTTGTCTGAATCATTCTTGAAGTGTGAAGCCCAAAACTTGACACAATATTCTACTTGAGGATCTGACCAATTTGAAATAAAATGGAGCAATTACTTCCCGTGAATTAGAAACTATATTTCTGTTGAAACAGCCTACAGTTACCTCCTGGAGCACATCCCACTGCTGACTCCATTTATAACTATTATTCCAACATCTTTTTCACATGTTCTGTTACCATACTACATAAACCAGTGCATTTTATTTCAATTTCCCAAGAGAAGACTATTGCATTTCTTTCTGTTATTTTCAGCCCATTTCTCTAATCTATCCAGATCATGAATTTTATTTCTGTATTCTAAGATACTAGCTATTCCATCCAATTTGGTGTCCTATGCAAAGTTGGTAAGCATTCTCTCCTCCTCTTCATCCAAGATTACTAAAAACTTGGATGACTCGCTTAATGAAGCTTGCATTACAGCAGATCTTCAGTTGTGGGTTGTTTGGCATCTGGAGCACCCTTATGTGTCTCAAAGCTCTTCCTTTGACATTTCCTGAATTTGCTGTTCCTTTTGCCTTTCCTCTTGATCACAGTCTTTTCCTTTTCAGACTGTTAGCGCTCTCCATCTTATCACTCCAGTCTGTTTCTCCAGCCAGTTATTATCCCCAGTAGGAGAGGTTCGTTATTAATGGAACAAAAATAAAACTACAAATAAATATAAATGAAAGCTCAGAGAAGACTTCGACAAGTACAGAACTCAGGACTGAATCTTGTACTTCACTTGAGAAGTTCTCTCAGTCTGATAAGCACCCTCTGAGCACAATTTTTGAGGCCCTCTATTTACCCATCTCACGGCCATACCATCCAGTCAACTTTTAACAAGTTTGCTGAACAGCCTGCCATAGGATACTTTGTCAAATGTCTTGGTTGAAATCAAAATATATAGGAAAGTTATCCAATCAAATAATAAGGCTAACTTGTTCTCCAAGTCACATTTATGAGATTGTGGCAATCACTGTTTTGTATTCAAGGTGCTCAAATCTATCTATATGGTTGATAAGGGTCAACACTGACTTGATGGTACATAATCAATTCAAGGTACTTATAGGACTGCCTCTTTATCATCTGCTTTGTAACCTTCCCAGGTGTTCTGTTGTTCCTAGATCCTCCTTTTTTTCCATCTATGAAGATGAAGGCCACATTTGCCCTCTTCACCTCTTCTCCAGGAGTTCTCAGTGATAATATGTAAAAGTTTAACAACATGACCATCAGCAATTTCCTCTGGTGCCCTAGGATACAATTCATCTGGCTCCATAGAGTTAAAGTACTGTAAATAGATATTCTCAGAATGTTTGTCTCATTATCAAGCTTCAGTTCTGTTTTTGCTTTCCACAGTTACCTAGTGAAACACTTACCTTCTCACTGGAGGATACTAAGCCAAAATAGGAGATAAATCATTTTGCCTCTTCTTGGTTATCTGCTAGCATTTTCCCACCTTCACTGTGTGTTCTTGTTATTCCTTAAGCCTTTTTTTTTTTTTTTGGCCTCCCCTG